TACTGATGCCTTCCTAGCATTACCTTAATTTCTTCAACTATTTTTTTTTCCATTGGCAGCCTGCACTACATTCTTTTAAAAACAATAATACCTAGAAATATAAAATTGGTTGTCTGCTCTATAGTCTTGTCATGCACCAATAGGATGCCCAGCCATTTAGCCGTTTTACAAAAACAGAACAATTAAAACCCATGATCAATACAACCTGCAAAAAGCGATAAAATAAAAAAACAATTCAAATAGTGTACAAAAGTATCAAAACTGGCATCTTTTTTACCATCAATTCCATAAAAGAAGAAAACTTCTGAAAATAAAACTGGAAATTGCACATGCCATTGGCAAACAATTGTCAAAATAAAATATGTCATAAAAAGAAAAAACAAGAGAACTAAAAACATCAGGATGCAAGGGCAGCAAATGATAGGCAGTTCCAATAGCAACATTGGCCATTAAAGCCCCCTTCACATGAAAACAAAGCCAGTTTAAATAAACAAATCCTCGCCAGGAATTGATAAGTGATGGATCAACCTAAATTTATCCAGTTCTTTTTTTTAGGTATAGGATCCAACGGAGAAAAGCAAAAATTCTCAAATGGAAGAGAATAACAATGACCTGCAATACTTCCCATTTCTCTTAACCATATTAGCTTACTGAAACAGATTTTAAATTAGAAATTAGGAAACACCCCTTGCCTTTAAAGCCAGGTGTATAAAAAACATTTTAAGGGGGACGGGACTTGACCGCCATCCTGAGGAGTCGCAGCAGGCTTGAGCTCCCAGCCAACTTCCAATTTAAAGTCACTTAGTGGCCAAAATACCTTACTACTTGCCTTCACTCTGATGGCATCTGAGTCTGATATACCCTGAGTACTCTTGGTGCAAATTCAAGGTCTCATCGAAATTGCTGTTGTGAACCTTCCTGGGTAAAAAGAAAATATTATAGCTGCTCACTATAACTGAGAGAAATCTAGGCAGCAGTGGATCACACAAGGATTCTTAAACCCTGTATATTCGAGTAAAACCAGAAAAGCAGGAATACACCGCTCTAAAAAGATAACCTCAAAGTGCAGTTAACACATACATGTACCTTCCACAGTGTTCCAATTGAGTAACCTAAAAAAACACAGAACAGGACAAATAATAGTGCAATACAGATGGACTATATAGAAATTCTAGCGGAATTTGTGTGGAGGATTTACTTACATTTCACAGAGCTAACATAGATCTTTGCTGAACGGACTGTATAATCCCCGTCTAAGGATTTCTGTGGTTCCAGGTGACAGTTTCTCTCCAAATTGGATAGTGCCCATACAATATATGGAAACAGTAGTAAGAGACAATCCAATGGTGAAATAAGTTCTTTTGAATCAAATATTAAGAAAGAATTATACTTACAATTTTAGAGCAGGACTTGCTCTAGTGGTATGAGACTCGGGTGGTATAATCCCCACCTTAGGATATTGCAGATATTTGGAAGCAGGATGAAGGTGAAAAAATAAGTAAATAAATGGAATAAAAAATGTACTTTATTTTATGAATAAAATATAAAAACATATAAAAACAAAGACATTTGTCCATAGTAACATTTATAGATTTAAATATTTATTTTAAAGGAACACTATAGTCACCTAAACAACTTGAGCTTAATGAAGCAATTTTAGTATATAGATCTCAGGTTTTCCTACTCAATTCACTGCCATTTAGGAGTTAAATCACTTTGTTTCTGTTTATGCAGCCCTTGCCACACCTCCCCTGGCTATGACTGACAGCCTGCATGAAAAAAAATGGTTTCACGTTCAATCAGATTTAATTTACCTTAAACAATTTTATCTCTTGCTCTGTAAATTGAACTTTAATCACATACAGGAGGCTCTTGCAGGGTCTAGCAAGCTATTAACATAGCAGGGGATCAGAAAATCTAAATCAAACAGAACTTGCAATAAAGAAAGGATAAACTTTAGATTACTCTTTACAGGAACTGTTTAGGAAGGCTGTGCAAGTCACATGCAGGGAGGGGTGACTAGGGTTCATAAACAAAGTGATTTAACTCCTAAATGGCAGAGGATTCAGCATACAGGCTGCATGGGCATGTTCTATATACCAAAATTGCTTCATTAAGCTAAAGTTGTTGTGGTGACTACAGTGTCCCTTTAAAGGCAAAACACCACCCAAGTCTCATATCAGTAGAGCAAACCCTGCCCTAAAATGTGTAAGTACGATTCTGCTTTTGTATTTGATCCAAAAGGACTATCCAATTTAGAAGACTTCTGTCACCTGGAGCCACAGATATCCTTAAACATGAATTATACCATCTGTGCGCAATTCAGCAGAGCTCTATGTTAGCTCTGTAACATGTGAGTGAATCCTTCACACAAATTCCACTAGAATTCATATATTGTCTATCTGTATTGTACTATTATTTGTCCTGTTCTGTTTTTTTTTTTAGGTTACTCAATTAGAACACTTTAGTAGGTACATGTATGTATTAACTTCACTTTGAGGTTAACTTTGTGGCGTGGTATATTCCATCGTTCCTGGTTGCAATCTGCACAAATAGTTCCCATGCAGTTTCTCCAATATGGCCAACGATGATGCTGAATTTACACTTAAAGAAACAGCAAATCAATTGTGGTGTTCTGCTGGCAGCAAGGTGGTTTACACATGGCAAACAGCCCTCACTGACAGAGAAGAGATTACACTGCTGGCTTTCAGTTTGATCTGTGAAGATCTGCACTGCTGGAAAACAGACAGAAAACACAGTCACATGCAATTTTACCTCAAAGTGTGTTGCAGAGAAATCTTCCTGACGCTGGATCTGGGCCTGCTCCAACTGAGTATGACTCACCAATGCTCCCGAGGCCTGTGCTGCTGACCTTCTCTGGGAGACCATTTAGGGTAGTTACTCGCCTGCATCACCTCCATTTTGTAAAATCCTACACCCGAGTGTTTATGCTCACCTATCATTCGGTGGCTGGTTGACGTTGGTCTTCAGACACAGTACCCTATTGTAGGAGTATGGGACTCTGGGGATCTCTTATGGGGTTCTACAGTGACTTTCTCCTTGCCTGCGAAGAGGCTGAGATTCTGCTTGGGCCTGGGGTAGTTCCAGCCTCTTATATTGCACAAGTGGCACACACAGTTTTAAAATACTGCTGACATTCTCCACAGGAGTCTTTTTGTTGCAGTTCTAGATCTACATACCCCTCACACCCCTTACCAGCAAATAAACCCCTTACCTTAATCATGCACCTATGTCCTTTTGGAAAATTACTCTTTTCCACCACTCGACAAACCCGTTTTCCTGACACTATAGGGCCCTAAGGGTGCTCTCACCCTCAGGGTCCCCCTCCCTTGGTGCTGAAGGGGTTAAAACCCCTTCAGCAGCTTACCTTAATCCAGCGCCGGGCTCCCTCGGTGCTGGTGACCTCTCCTCCGCCGCTGACGTCAGCTCCCGAGTGGAGCAGAATGCACATGCACGGCAAGTGCCGCGTACGCACTCAAACAGTCCATAGGAAAGCATGCCTATGGACGTTCTGCACACTGGATGCGACTCTAGCGGCTGTCCAGGAAACAGCCACTAGAGGCTGGATTAACCCTGCTATGTAAACATAGCAGTTTCTCTGAAACTGCTATGTTTACATCTGAAGGGTTAAAACCTGAGGGACCTGGCACCCAGACCACTTCATTGAGCTGAAGTGGTCTGGGTGACTATAGTGTCCTTTTAAAGAGATCTTTCATTCTGAAAAGGAAAATTCTGCAATTTAAAACAAAGACCAATAGAAAGATGGTGTCTCAATATCAAAATGGAATTATAATTAACAAGACCATAATATCTACATCTGTGATATGGATAAATACCTACATGTAGAACATAAAAATACATGGAAATTACATAAAAAATGCATAAAAAATACATGAAAAAGAAGTTCATATGATGGGGGGAGGATAGAAGTACGATACTGGATACAAAAATAATTAAAGCAAATGAATAAACAATCAAATAATATAATCGTATCCAGGTTGAAAATCCATTGACTTTCAATTTTGTTAAGTTCCTTAAAATTATCCTCCCCCCTCCAGTTGATATTCTTTTTTAAAAAAGGCCATAAAAACCAAAAGAGAGGGGGTTACGATTGTGTTTATTTAAAAAAAATGTGCTGACACACTATGCTTTGTGTATCCCCTCTGGATGTTTCCAATGTGCTCCAGTGTGCGGGTTTTTAAACTCCTAGTAGTCATTCCCACATACTGGAGCCCACAGGAACACCAGAGAATATACAATACATTCTTAGAATAACAGGTTAAGGGGCATTTTAATATTAAAAATTTTGCCTGTTGCATATGATTTGAAGATTGTTAAAGTGTCCTTCTTACTACTAGTCTTTGTACATGCTGGATACATCTTATAGTAATAAAAAACAGATTTTTGTTTTAAAAAATTCCCATCACTCGTGCCTTTTTCTGGTCTAATATAGCTATTTACCAGATTATCTTTTTAGTTCCTTGTTCCACTATATATAATATTTGGTTTGTCATCTAATTTTCCCTTCAAGAGTGATATCTGTTTGTAGAATATGCCAATATTTATTTAAAATTTTTTTTATTTGTCTAGCAGTTTCATTAAAATCTAAGATTATAGGGATAGTCAAGTCATTCTTAGGGTGTGAATTCTTAGCTGTAGCTTTATATTGTAACACATCCTTTCTATTCATGGACCTAACTTCATGCCTCCGTTAGCTTAAAATTTCCAAATTGAGTTAAAATATTGGTCTGTATGTCAAATTCCTGTGAGTCACTACAATTTCTTAAAACTCTCATAAATTGCCCTTTTGGGACATTATGTAGTCAAGGTATGAAATGACAACTAGTTGTGTCGATGTAACTGTTTGCATAGACTTTTTTAAAAACCTTTTTTTGTTATAGAAACATAGAATGTGACGGCAGATAAGAACCATTCGGCCCATCTAGTCTGCCCAATTTTCTAAATACTTTCATTAGTCCCTAGTCTTATCTTATAGTTAGGATAGCCTTATGCCTATCCCACGCATGCTTAAACTCCTTTACTGTGTTAACCTCTACCACTTCAGCTGGAAGGCTATTCCATGCATCCACTACCCTCTCAGTAAAGTAATACTTCCTGATATTATTTTTAAACCTTTGTCCCTCTAACTTAAGACTATGTCCTCTTGTTGTGGTAGTTTTTCTTCTTTTAAATATAGTCTCCTCCTTTACTGTGTTGATTCCCTTTATATATTTAAATGTTTCTATCATATCCCCCCTGTCTCGTCTTTCCTCCAAGCTATACATGTTAAGATCCTTTAACCTTTCCTGGTAAGTTTTATCCCGCAATCCATGAACCAGTTTAGTAGCCCTTCTCTGAACCCTCTCTAAGGTATCAATATCCTTCTGAAGATACGGTCTCCAGTACTGTGTACAATACTCCAAGTGAGGTCTCACCAGTGTTCTGTACAATGGCATGAGCACTTCCCTCTTTTTACTGCTAATACCTCTCCCTATACAACCAAGCATTCTGCTAGCATTTCCTGCTGCTCTATTACATTGTCTGCCTACCTTTAAGTCATCAGAAATAATCACCCCTAAATCCCTTTCTTCATATGTTGAGGTTAGGACTCTATCAAATATTCTGTACTCTGCCCTTGGGTTTTTACGTCCAAGATGCATTATATTGCACTTATCCACATTAAATGTCAGTTGCCACAATTCTGACCATTTTTCTAGTTTATCTAAATCATTTGTCATTTGGCTTATCCCTCCTGGAACATCAACCCTGTTACATATCTTAGTATCATCAGCAAAAAGACATACCTTACCATCAAGACCTTCTGCAATATCACTAATAAAAATATTAAAGAGAATGGGTCCAAGTACAGATCCCTGATGTACTCCACTGGTGATGTTAAGATGTAAATTTCTAAATCCAAAAAGTGCACCTTGGTATAACAGTGTTCACAAATGTAAGGAATAGTTCGAGGGACCCCACATCACCCTTCCAAATGAAAAAAATATCATTGATGTACCTGCGATAGGGGACCAAGTTCGCATCCCAGCCATGGCTCTCCTGAAGGAAAGTTTTTTCCCGGAAGGACATAAAAAGGTTGGCATAGCTGGGCGCGAACTTCGTCCCCATCACATTACCTACCAATTGTAGGTAGTAGGATCCCTTGAACCAAAAATAATTGTACTAAATGAATTTGATACCCTTCAAGATAAAGTCTTTTTGGTTTTGTGTGTGCTTATATTGCTGTCCCCTCTCAGGTCCAGTGAGGATGCCCCCTGGAATATGTCACCAGAAACCCTTTGCATTGGGACCTGCATAAAAGGCCGGCTGTGGCTCCATTAAAATCAGTCTTGCTTTACCCTCAACAGAGTCTTATCTCTTGTTGCCGGGAACTGCTATACCTGCTTCTCTACTTGGATGACTACTTGGAATGCTGTAACACAACTCACACTTGGGGAAGGATGTCTCTGGCGGTGAATATCCCTTTACTCACCGGGGTGATCGCTACATGACCTTACTCCTCAGCAGCAGAGTATAGTCAAAGAGCTGCTATTAAGGAATGCAGACATATTCTCTGCCATCCCAGGTAGGACCAAATCAATAGTCCATGAGATTGTAACAGACCTTGGAATAATTGCAAAGTCAAAACCGTATAGAGTCCCAGAAGAAAAAGGGAAGCAATAGCAGCTGACATTGCAATAATGTTGAAATTAGGGGTTATTGAAGAGTCTAATAGTCAATAGTCGAGCCCCATTGTCCTGGTACCAAAACCAGATGGCTCGCTACGGTTTTGTAATGACTTCAGGAAACTCAATGAGTGTTCTAAATTTGATGCATATCCTTTACCTAGGGTAGACGAGCTTGTCGAGAAATGGCACCGGCTAGGGATCTGAGTTGTCTTGACCTTACAAAAGGTTATTGGCAGATTCCCCCATCTGAATCTGCTAAGGAAAATACTGCTTTTGTAACCCCTCAGGGTCTTTATCACTATACGGTGTTGCCATTTGGCTTACATGGGGCCCCTGCAACCTTCCAAAGTTTGATGAACAAGCTGAGACCCAATTCCACTTATGCCTCTGCTTATTTTGATGATCTAGTCATCTACAGCCAGGATTGGGAAACCCACTTAGACAAAGTTGAAGCTGTACTGGATACATTGAGGGTTGCAGGTCTCACTGTTAACCCTGCCAAATGTATACTAGCATGTCCGGAAGTTAAGTACTTGGGGTATACTATTGGACGAGGCATGGTCAAACATCAAATCAATAAAATAGCTGCTATTGAAAAATAGCCCCGTCCCTTGAGAAAAAAACAGGTTAGGGCTTTTCTTGGTATTGTCGGATACTACAGGAGACTTATACCCCAGTTTGCCACCCTAGCTTCCCCCTTAACTGAGTTGACAAGAGCAAGGGGACCGGAAATCATTCAGTGGAGGCCGAAATGGCATTTACGAATTTGAGGACGGCCCTATGCTGTCATCCAGTCTTGATATCCCCAAACTGTAATGAGCAAATCTTTCTACAGACGGACCATGCTTTCTACAGATGGATGCAGAGGAACAAGGAATAAAATGCAAGGGTCACCCGATGATTTCTTTCCCTTCAGCCCTATAAATTTGTAGTGAAGCATAGAGCTGGCCTCCTACATGCTAATGCAGATGCATTGTCTAGAGTGCATAGTCTCTGTCATGGCCGCTCCACCCTGTTGTGTTACGCTGTGGGGAAGGATATGTGGAAGTGTGAGGGAACACTACTATATTAGCCCCCAGAATGGAACTTACAATGTTCCCTGACTAGAGGGGGTTAAAAATCAGGTTGCTCTAGTACATCAATTAGGGAGCTACATAAACCCTATGCAGAGGAAATCAGTCTCTCCTGTGAAGAGTTGAGTCAGAGATAGAGAGACTGAGTCAATGAGACTGCTGAAACTGTGTGGGGGGGAAAAAGTATTTAGAGTCCTACAACTTAAGGACTACATGAAAGATCCACATTTACAAAACGCAGCCAAAGGGCACATGTCCTTCTTTGAGAGAATATGCCCCCATGAACACAGCCAGGTTTGATATCAAAACTATATGCACATATTAGCTCTGAAACAAAAGAGTGGGGCACACTCACTTACACCGAGAATTGGGAGAGGAACTGCAGGGCACAGAATGGAGGGAAATTTGGGAGGCCAACACCTCGGTGTCCATGTGTGTGTCCCTCCAGGAACAGGCAATTAAAACACTCCTCAGGTGGTATGTCATGCCAGTAAAACTGCACCAAATGGGGAAAACCCCATCGGACAACTGCTGGAATGCACATACCTCCACATGTGGTGGGAATGTCCCCGGGCACAAGGCTTCTGGAAGGGTATCTAATGATACTTCCTCCCCTCGCCCTGTCTCGGTTGGAGTCCCCCAAGGCAAACTTATAACCTCATTTGGATTCCACTACCACCTGTACGCTGATGACACCCAGCTATATCTCTCCTCCCCAGAACTCTCTCCTGCTGTCTTGCAACGTGTCACTGCTTGCCTTTCTTCCATCTCTGACTGGATGTCCTCCCGCTTTCTGAAACTCAGTCTCTCAAAAACTGAGCTCCTTGTCTTTCCTCCTCCTAATACTGATCCTCCTCTTTCGCTCTCCCTTCAAGTTTGTGGTACCAACATCAGCCCATCCTTGCAAGCGCGCTGTCTTGGCGTCATACTTGACTCTGGTCTCACCTTTGAGCCTCACATCCAGCATGTTGCCAAATCCTGTAGATTCCATCTTAAAAACATAGCCCGCATCCGCCCCTTTCTTGCACCAGACACTACCAAGGAGCTTGTCCATGCTCTAATAATTTCCCGCATGGATTATTGTAACCCTCTCCTGCTTGGTCTTCCCAAAAGCCGTACTGCACCCCTACAGTCTGTAATGAACGCTGCTGCTAGACTGATTTTCCTCTCTAGTCGGTTCTCTCACACCTCACCCCTCTGCCAGTCCTTACATTGGCTTCCTGTGTGCTATAGGAGTCAATTCAAGGCACTAACTCACACCTATAAAGCACTGAACAACTCTAGCCCCTCTTATATCTCCTCACAGATCCACAGGTATGTCCCTTCTCGGTCTCTCCGCTCTGCCCGTGACCACCTCCTGTCCGTTGTCCGCACCCGTACGGCCAACTCGCGCTTGCAGGACTTCTCGCGGGCGGCTCCCTTCCTATGGAATAGCCTGCCTCCCGCCATCAGACTCTCCCCTAGTCTTGCATCTTTTAAGAAGTGCCTTAAAACCCATCTCTTTAGGAAAGCTTATGGCCTCCAAGACTAACCCCTACCTCACATACCTGTCTCTTGCCCTCTCCTAAAGGGCAGCCCACATTATTTGATTGCAAATTCCTGTCCTAATGTGTTTTACACCCCACCTCCTATAGAATGTTAGCTCGATTGAGCAGGGTCCTCTTCAACCTATTGTTCCTGTAAGTTTATTTGTAATTGTCCTATTTATAGTTAAATCCCCTCTCATAATATTGTAAAGCGCTATGGAATCTGTTGGCGCTATATAAATGGCAATAATAATAATAATAATAAAGGGGACCCAGACTTTCATAACGCACATTTTCCACAGAGCACCAGACCTGAACCCATGGACATACCTCCTCAACAGATCCCTAGATAACTGGACGCGTAGAGAGCAAAAACTCATACATAAGGTGACACTGGCGGCAAGGAGAGCACTAGCTCAAGCATGGCTGAAGGTAGAAACACCTCCACTGAGTGCAGTTATAAATAACATAAAAGATGTATACCTCATGGACAGCCTAACGGCTAAGGTCCGGGGAACTGTGACACAGTTTGAGAAAATGTGGGAACCATGGACCACCAGCGACTTGGCTTAAGAAGTAAAACACTGATAGGACAGGACCAGCACTACACACTCATAATTGACCGATCCTAGAAGGGTCCCTCTGGGACTGAGATGGAATACTTGGGTTGACTGGCGCCGACACCCTTAGCCCTGATGACCCCAACCTACTACCTTTCCTCCATCTCTATCCTTTCCTATCTCTCTCCTATCTCTCATATCTCTCTCTTCATTATTTCCACCAGTTATGGGGACTGTGGAACAGCCCCAAAGTTCCAAGTTGCAAATAACATTGTTAAAACATTATAACATTATAAAATGACAAAATGACGGCATAATGACAAACTGGACTGCCGACTACCTCACCA